AGGTGGGCCGGGTGCGTTTTTCTGAGGCCAGACATGCCGAATTTGTAGAGACCTGCGAGCGATGCAAATTGTGGCTGTCTAGAAACAGGAGTAGAAAGTGAGAATTCTGCAAAGCTCTGCCCAGCCAAAATGTTCTGGGTGGAGGTGGGGAGGGGAATCGGGACAGTTGTGGTTCTACCGGTTTTGGTCTTATATAGTATATGAGGTCTAGTTTTAATAATACGCTTTCCAGACTGGGAAAGCATGCTTCTGTCCTGCTTTGTATTCTACCTAAAAATAACATCTGTGGAGTGAAGATGTTTGCATTGCAGGGGCTTTTTTTCCCGTCAGAAATTGAATAAATACGACAGCACATCAACTGCACCAGGAATATGTTGTATTATACTGTATAACTGAGTGAAACTCCACATTTCTGAAAGCACAGGCAACCGGCGTCTTTACCATTCCATGAGTTTTATTTGGATAGTTTCTTAGCACTCCTGTTTTTAATGCTAAATGGTGTAGTGTCTTTAAGGAGCAAGGACTTCAGTTTCACATCTCTGCTTCTATACAATTTTTTTACAATTTCAATATACTCTATTTCCACAGCAGTGATAGAGAATAGCTGCTGTACTCTCTCAGATGGAAGAGTGAATTAATTACTAATAAAGTTGACTCCAATAAATAAGATTGATTTAGAACAGCATTCTGACTTCTTTTTGGATAAATAAGCACAGAGCACCCATGTTCTTGTCGTACTCAGCAAATAAATTACGAGAACTGGATTTTATTTTCTGACTGATTTTGTGTTTTAGTGTAAGTGCATGATAGAAGAATAAAACTTCTCATTTGAAAGCTGTGAATGAGAGAGGCTGTGCATTATTGCTTTAGCATACTAATGTTTTAGTAGTCTTTAATATTAAATATTTTCTAGTGCAGGCAGGTAAGAAGTTAAGAGCCAATGCATCTTACAGTAGAAAGCCACAAGTATTTGAGTAGTTGGAGTTGCTTTTTAGTGGGTTAGTGGGTGTTTTTTCGTATCCAGAGTGGTTACCTGCCCGCATGGCTGTACGGAGGAATGGCAGATGACTGGCTAAGCAGCAATTTAAAACAAAAACTCTGTGTACAATTGCATGACAGACTACTATTGCTAGGCTTTGTTTTGCAGTCTATAAATAAGTCGTTGCATGCCAATTCAGTGAGTAAGAATTACTGCTTGAAAAGCAGTTTCACAGTTGCAGATATGCTTTATGGAGTTAATGTGAATTACACGTGAATGACATCGTTTTAACTTGTCACAGAATTGCAGCTGCATGGCCAGTTGAGGCATTGCTGGGTTAAATGGTAGGTGAAAAATAATCAGGTAAATTTTCTTCAGGTTTTGCAATTTTGTGCAAGAAGCTCTTGAATATTTTTCTCTCGTGATATCTTACATGACAGAATATTTTTCAGCTTGCTCTTAGGAGAAAGAAGCTTGAGAACATTTCACATGATTACTAGAGAGATATTTGGTAGCTTTTTTCTTTTTTCCAGATTGGTAGAAAGGTTGAAAAAAAAGCCCAACAGTTCAGCTACAAGTTTAGTTTTGTGTGTTCTTCTGCATTTCTTTTGTGTGTGTATTCAGCATGAGTAGGCAGAATAAAGTTTATGGATTTCAGGGTTAGAACAGAAGATACTTGCAATGAGGGTTTTTTTAATAGTGAATATTACAAAACCTACGTATTTGGTGATAAAAGTAATTATTATATAAGCTTACAACAAACGGATACTGTTTGACTTAAAGTACTGGCAGCATTTTTTAACTTAGGAATATATTCACCTCAGGTTTTTTTTATAAAATATTAAATGCATGTAGGCACATAACTGTGTCGTGTGGCATATGTTTAAAGCAAGGTAGGTGATTCAGATATAAATTTTTATATTTTAGTTAATATCTGAGGGCTTGTCTGGCTTCACAGGTTATTCTGTCCTTCCTCCTGTGGCCTCTTTGGGTCTCTTCTGAACCTGATAAGTAGAATGAAGAAATTCACAATGGGAGAGACTAAGTGAGCGCTTCATTACATGGGAAGGCATATGAATCTGTTACATTGCTCTTCTGTTCTGGGTATGTCAGTGTAACTCCCATGCTAGTACTTTGTGTAGGAATAAATTAATGTATTCTGAAATAATGGTAGTTAAGCTGCTGGTTTAATGTTTACAGTTACAGAAGGCCAAAGCTATCACAATAGCTGTATCAGGACTCAGCTTTAGGTCTGCAAATCTGTTTCCCTTGTACAGGGAAAACGCAAACTGCTTTGTTTTCACATACTTTCTTGTCATTTATTCTCAAAGGTCAATTTGGGGATACTGAAAAGAGAAAAAAGTCTTGATTGATTCAGCCAAACCTTCAGTGAGACCTAACTGATCAATTCAAAAAAGCATTCTCAATGGCAGATTATTTGGGACTGAGTTATGTTCAGGTTTAAAGTCTCTGTTAAAGTATTCCAGCAAAATATTTTTCTGGCTGTACCAACTAGGCAAACTTTCAAAGATTACTTTCTGCGAAGGTTATGTATACACTGTGGTCGCTTGGTTTGGTTTACAGCCTTTTCTTCCTTACAGCTTTCCATGCAGAAGGGTTTTGTAGTTCCAGCTTTATAATATAAGGAGTGTCCTTGTCATGAATAGTTGAAATGTGACCAAGACACTGTGTCCTCTGAGAGTGTGCTCTTAAAAAAAGTTCTGTCCTAATTGCTGGTGATGGAAACAGGGAGTTGATTTGAGTTCTTTTGTAAATTTTGACGCGGAATGATTGTTAAAAACACCCAAAACAACTTCAAGCTTCAGCAGTAGAAAAACAAACACAGTGTGAGGTATAAGACTATAATTCAGTGAACTCTTTAGAAAGGGCAGTAGCTTCAATTAGTATCTAATTGCTTAAAAAAACATAAGGCATACACTATAATAAGCCATTAAAATGGGAAAAATCAATATATGTTGAGGTTGTTCAGCCAGGTCAAGAAATAGAGGTTGCTTATGTAACGTTGATCTCGTTCCCACTGTGACAGTACTTTATAACGTGTGTTTAGTTATGTAGTCTCATTCCGTTTCTCAGTAAAATTTTAGAACTACCTAAGGTAAGTACAGGCATCACTTCTTGTTTGGACTACAGAAGACACTGCTGCACTTCAGCATCCTGAATTCTACAATTCAGTATGTGGTGAGAATTGATCAAATGGTCAGACCATCTTATGTGTGTGTTCAAGGGGATGGAATTAACTGAAATGACAGATGGAGACCAAACAAGATTGAGGTTTTGGTGGAAGGGAGCGAAGCTCTGACTGTTTTAAAAGGTAATCTTAGCATCTGCAGGAGTTATTGTTAGTTATCAACAAAACTATCTAGTAGTCTGGCTGTCACTGATTTTTTCAGACCTACATTATAAAGGCTGTATAATCCTTCCTTGATTAGATGAGTAAGAATGTGGCTGTTATTTCAGAAAGATTCAACAAGTCTGTATATGATTTTAAAGTTTAGCTCCAAATTAATAAAGATTATAGTGTCTCCTGGCTGGAGATCTCAGCAGTAGGTGAGGTATTGATTGGACACAAAGACTTCCCCTCTCTAAGAAGGCATCTACTAACTAGTCAGCAGGCAGTGGGACAACTTTCTTGGTTTTTATGTGTTAAAGAGCATTATTTTACAATATAATATTAAGAAAGTAAAGAGTTGTTGTCATATGTAGAGAATAATATCTTTAAGTTTTCTACCAGAAGTGTAGTCATACATTCTGTTTAGTTCTTTGTGTCAGTTTGGATCCACCAACACTGAACTCTGTCAGTGGTTGATCAGTTAGTCTTTCATTAATTCAAATGTTTGAAATATTTCCTAGTAAGAATTTTTTAGGTTTCTTTCTGAGTGTGATGTCACAGAATCGCAGAATTGCCTAGATGGGAAAAGATTTTAAGATCATCAAGTCCAACCATGAACCCAACACTGGACAAGTCCCCGACTAACCCATGTCCCTCAGCACTATGTCTACACGACTCTTCAATCCCTCCAGGGATGGGGACTCCACCACTGCCCTGGGCAACCCCTTCCAATGTCTCAGAACCCTTTCAGCAAAGAAATTCTTCCTCACATCCCATCTCAACTGCCCTGGGCACAACTGGAGGCCGTTTCCTCTTGTCCTGTCCCTTGTTCCTTGGTTGAACAGACCCACCCCCATCTCTCTCCACCCTCCTTGCAGGGAGTTGTAGAGAGCCAGAAGGTCCTTCAGGGGAAAAAAAAAAATAAATTAAATGATCTTCCATTTGGTATGAGCAGCTTGGTAAATGTATTCTATTCATTGAAACAACTGCATCATTTCCTGATTACTTTGATGCTGCCAGCCCAGGCTCCTGCCTGACCTGGTCAGGTCAGCAAAAGAAACTTCAGGATCTGGGAATCTGGGAAGTGTCACGGGGCTGCCCGCGTTCCTGAGGGTTGGATACATCTGCCTGGCTGTTTGCTGCTGGACCCACACTGCACAATGGAACAGGGGCAGCTCTGGTGGGATCAATAACGGCACGTGCTGGGGTGCAGGAAAGGGTTACCTGGTTGTGAGAGAGCAACAGAGTGTGTTCTTACACTGGTGCACCTGCATTAGGAAATCCTGTTGAGGTTCCCCTAATAGGACAGGCCAGGCTGAGGTTGACACCACGTGTTTTGGCTGGCTCTGTTTCATGGAAGAGTGCTCCTCAAACAGGGAAGTGTCCCTGGCTGCAGCAGCAGCATGCTAATTAGGTTTTCCTGGAGTAACAAAAAGATGTCTGCAAGTTTAGTCTCTCTCTGTTAATCCTGTTGATCAGGAATTGAGGACTGCTCACAAATTTGTTTTACTGCATATAGAAACAGTATGTAACGTTTTCTGGTGTACTTAAATACAATTCTGCATTATGTTCTAGGTAATCATATTCTACCTGATGAAGATTTGGCTTCTTTTCATTGGAGTTTACTTGGTCCAGAACATCCACTAGCTTCACTTAAGGTACACATTTAATATAAGTACGAGCAATTAAGCTAAAATCAATCATAATGGTTAATCAGAGCAGTGTAATGGGTTGATTCACAGCAGCTCTGCAAGGCTCTAGTTCTTCGTCACCCTCTGGTGTCTCAGTCCCTCGCTGTTGGCTGCAGAGGATACCTGGGGTGATTAGCCTTATGAGGCTAAACTTAGCCTTTGTGATCCCCCTCAGTGCCCTTCAGCTTCATGACCCTCATGGCTTCAGTGTGGTTTGGCTTTGAGAATGTATTTTTAAGAGGAGAATATTTTGTTTAGTCATGTTTCTTCAACTGTCAAAAATAATCAACTGAATATCTTCCTACCGTATTATTTTATTTTCTACTGATCTGAGTTTGTGTGTATTAGTTTTCTGTACTTCTTAAAGGATGAATACGCTAGAGAATAGGATGCAGAAGAAAGCTAACATGATCTTCAGCAGATTTTAATTTTTTTTTTTTTTTTTGAGACAAGTAGCTTGTGTTTGATGCTCTTGGTTTACAGTATGTCTTGTTCTGCTGCTTCATCACACTTGCTTTGTGCATCTGCCAAGTAGACAGCTATAAAAGGGAAACTGGGCACGTCAGGGAGTGGGATAATAGTGACCTTTCGTTCTCTCTGCCACAATAGACGTACCTTTTTCCCTTTCTCTGAAGGTGTACCGTGCAGCAAATTAATTTGGTTTTTGTAAATTCTATAAGACTGTTTTGTTATATCTATGACAAAAATAGGTGGGGTTTTTTTCCCTTCTGTTCCAAAATTTTATTAAGCATTGAAAAATTGTAACTTACTTTGCTGAAGGTAGAATTTAAAAACAGATTCAAGATTTTCATCAGTTTTTAAGGCTTGCACGTGCGTTACTTAGTGAACAGCTGTCAGCTGTGACAATTTGATGTTACGCTCATCCCCTATTTCTCTGCAGCTCCTGTGTTTGGAAAGGTAAGTGTCAGCACACTGCAGTGACAAAACAAAATATGCAGGCATGTTTGCTACTTCCTTGTAAAACCTGAGGTGAAAAAGTGAAAGACTGGAAGAATGTGTCTGTATTTTCATTTTTTACCAAAAAGGTTAAAATGTAGGACTTCTCTCAGCGTGATTGGCAACTTTCTGATGTTCAGAATACTTTTCTGTGTTTTAGGCTGAGTGGGCTTGTTCTACAGCCAGTTCAGAATATGACTTCAGACACCTCGGCCTTCTGAAAAGCCTTTTCAGTACATGCTAAATGACTTGACTAGAATGAAAATTAAATGTTTGTCATCTTTCCTTCTATAGATTTGCATTTTCAGTGGAAACACTAACTGGGCTTTGTAGCTGGCATCCTAAGGAAATGAAACTTGTTTCCTCAGCCTCTCTGGGCTGTCTTAGGCAGTCCTCTCTGTGTTTATTTAATCTGTTGGTCAGTGTTAATCAGATTTGAAAGCAGTTCTCATTCGGCTGTTGCAGGCTCAGTAAAAACTGATACACTGTTATCAAGTGAAAAGAACCCAAATTAGTGCCCTTACTGAGGGAAAAGGCTAGCACAACACACGGTTTGTTTCATTTCACAACAGCTCGCTGGCCAGTTGTTAAGTAGGCAGCCTTAAACTAACCACAGCATTTCTGTCTCCTGGCTAAAAATGATGTCAAAGGGTGAGAAAGAAGAAGGGCTAAAGCAACAAGGACACAAGTCTACAGGAAACCAGTATTCATTAGTTACTGGTCATGGAACAACATTGGAACAACAAAGGGGTTTTTTGTTTTTGTTTTTTTTTTTTTCAGTTTCAGCAGTGCTCATGGATTGAAATTGTAACTTGTTTCAGTAGCTCATTAATTCAATTTAATTTATTTGACATACTAGTATGTTAGTGATATCATTACAGCTCTCTCTGTAGAGACCTCTTCTCTTAACTGTAGATGTGCAGAAAGCAATATTTCCTTAAAAAGCTGAAAACCACGTTTATATTAGCCACAAGCTTGATAGCAAGAAATAGTTTCAGAACAGTTACAAAAAGTGCAAGCTGTCATGAAAACTGGAAATGGAGTGGGGGAAGTTGGTGTGGTTGCCCAGGATGTCACCCCTGGCCTATACTTACAAACTTTGCTTTATTCCATCTGTTTAGAGTCACTATCGAGTATTCTCCATACTCAGGAACCTCTAATTCCACACCTCATTCAAATCAGGTGTTAGAAAACTTCTCATTGTGTAAAGAATTTAATCTTTTGTATCTAAGACAGTGTGGTCTTGAGCATTAAAGCGAACAGATTCAGTTCCCAATGGCCTGATTTGTTGCTTTTTGGTGAGAGCTATGACAGTTAATAATGCACAATTTGTTTTCTTCATTCTTTCTCAGTCTTTTGTTATGACACAGCAAAGTGGCTACTCTTCCTACAGGAGAAGTTTTGCTAGTTCACCGATTAAAAAGTGTAGCTTAGTAAAGAAACTAAGATAGAAAATTGGTGTATCTGCTCAGGTGTCAACTTAGTGAGGTGAAAAAAAGCAAAACTGAGGAACCTCTGTGTCTTTAATAAAGAGGGACATGAGGGTGTTGGGTTCGTTTAGGAACAGCTGAGTAGAAATGTGGAAAAGGAAGGGAAATGGATGCCTGAATGAAGAATGATTATACATTATATCATTTCACATTGAGAAGGAAATCAGGACACCATCTTTACATGCTGGATAAAGAGCCATGCCTTTCAGGGGACACCAGCAATGACCATCAGCTCAGCAAAACTTAAAGTTCTGTGGACAAATAGAAATGAAGATATTTGAATTGCTATTTCTGCAAAAGGGGAAAAGAATCAAAAACTGCCACTGCAAGCTGTTCTGAATCAGGGACAGAAAAATCCCCTAGATCTAATAAATGTGTAGACCTGTGCTTGCTCCTGTTAACTGACTGAGAGCAGAGTTCACTGAAATAACCACCTGACTCAGAATTTAAAGGACTTGATACGCTTCCTGAGAAATAATTTGACCGCTAAACCTCGTTTGGAAACTAGCATTATACTACTTTTTATTTGTGTGCTTTGGGATTTATCTTTAAGACAAAGATAATGTGGTTCTTATTCTGGGAAAGCTTGTTACAGCACGGGGTTTCAAGATCAATATATAATACCATCAGTGTGATGTTAGGAGGGCAGTTTCTTATCTCTGGAATGAATTAGTACCTATTTGGAAGCACATACCACCAAAAGAAGGTCTGAGTCTTTATTCACAAGGTAACTTTAGAAACAGCTCTTAATGCAATTTCTCTTTTTGAAAAAGCAGAGCATGCAGGGAAACGTGAGATTGCCATCTTCATTTTGCAATGGATCATTGTCCCATTAGGGTGCTTCTGAAGGGATGGATTCATTGGACTGTGTTTGGCAAACTCTTGATATGCCCACCATCCAGTATTCCACAGCTGTTTTTACCTGGCAAAATGAGTTAGCTAATCTCCTTTGGTTGTTTCATCCCAGTAGAGAGGCAAAGAGAGATGCTTCCATAAAGCAATCCAAAATATGCAGGTTAGGCTCCTTCCCTGAATCGCTCTAGGAAATTCCTGTCTCTCTCTGCTGACTTCAGAGGGTGTCTGCCAGAGGGAGAATAATGTGCTAAGTAGGTGCTTAGGTAGTTCGCTGCTGCTCAGGTGGTACTCTTGAGGTTTGTCTGGGGTTTTTTTTGATGCTAAGGGTCATCATAACATGTTGTAGGTCAGAAAGGACCTCAGGAAGTCAGGTAGTCCAACCTCCTGCTAAAAGCATGGTCAGCTTGAGGTCAGAACAGGTTGCTCAAGGCTTTACCTAGACTAGTCTTGAAAATCTCCAAGGCTGGAGACTGTGCAGCCTGTCTGGGCAGCATGCTCCATGATTTAACAGCCCCAGAGGTAAAAATGTGTTGCCTTGCTTACAGTCTGAACTCCTCTTGTTTCAGGCTATGTCTGTTGTGTCTGGTTCTTCCACAGTGCACCACTGCGACGAGCCTGGCTCCATGTGCTCGGTAACCTTTTTGTATGTGTTGGAAGGCTGCTGTTAGGTATCTCCAAAGTCTTGTCTTTGCCAGGCTGAATGAGCTCCATTCCCTCAGCCTCTTCTTCCAAGAGCAAGTGCTCGAATTCCTTAGCCATCTTCATGGTCTTCTGCAGAACTAGCTCCACTTTTTTGACATCTGCCTTGAGCCCCAAACCGAATGCAGTGCTCTAGAGTTCATCTTACAAGCACTGAGGAGCAAGATCCCTCGATCTGCTGGCTGTGCTCCTGCTGCACAGCCCAAGGTGCAGATGGCCTGCTCTCCTGGCTCGTGTTCAGTTTGCTCTCTTCCAAGAGCCCCAGATCCTTTTTGGCACAACTCCAGCCTGCAGAGTAGCCAGGGCTTGTTCCTGCCCAGGTGCAAGACTTTCCTTTGTAGTTGTTGAATTTCTTAAGGTTCTCATTGGCTTACTCCTCTGGCTTGTCCAGGTCTTCTGGATGGCAGCCCAGCCCTCGACTTCGCGGTAGCGTGCAGGGTTGTCACGCAGGTTGTCTCGTATGAAGTTTGTCTGTGTCATGTCTTTGGCATGTTTTTCTGCTCTTCACTTTCTGACATTGTTTTTTTTTTTTTTCCTCTGTTTCAATTTGTTTTTCTCGGAGTCCTGTGTGTATAAATTGTTAGCAAATGATCTCCATGTTGTGTGTGTTCTTGTTACCATCAAGGATGCAGTAAGTAGGAAGAGGTCAGTTTCCCAGCCAGGATGGAGGGAGGAGGAGGAGGGACAATTTCTAATTGAATAACCTGATCTTCAGGGAAAAGCTGAGCTTTGCTGGTGTAAGAGTATTTTAAGTCATCCAGGGAACTTCTTGCCTCTTCAGAAACGTTGTCATTAGATCAGACGCGCTGTAAGCTCCTAAGAGGAAATGTTTTTAACACTCAAAGGCTGATACAAGATCCAAACACTTTGGATGCAATCTCTAACAGAAATTACTAGATAAAAATAACAAAGCCCAGTCAATTTGTTGTAGTATTCTTCATATCTTCAGCCTTTTCTCTTGCCAGTGGAAAAAAAAATATTCCCTATATGTCACCTCACAGTAACTGAATGTTCAAGCTCTCTTTTTTAAATGGTTTGAAAATAAAACTAAACTGATTATCTGTTTCCAGCAGGCACAACAGTAAATGCTGGTACTTGTGTCGATTAGCTTTTAGAGGCTTCACTTCCTGGAGACAGTGAGCAACTGGAGTTGTCCCAGAATTCGTGAGCTTTTCCTAAGTGTAGCTTAGATACCTTCGACAGTATCCTAATAATCCTGTGGAGTTTTACACATATATGAGTTGATTCTCTCTCAATAAAGTATTTTTTTTCAAGTTTATTTTGTCAAAACCTAGATATTTTTATCTTGTAGCTTCTGAGCTTGTAATGTTGTCCTCTGCCTCTCATTTTGACAAATACCTATGTAGAATTAATTACCTTTCCCCACTTAATCTTTTCAGAGTGCATTGATGGGTCACTTGTGATTTTTGTCAGTTGTCTGTCATGAAATTGAAGTAATCCTTTTACCAGGAGCAAAGAAATGGTGCCCTTTGCAGATGTCATACTTTCTAGCCTGATCACCTCCGAGTGAGTGATCCACCTCCACGTTTGCCTTTCCAGAACTGTTTTTCCATGTTGTTGCTTGTCTGAAACTCTTCTGTAGAGGATAAGGGGGGAAAAAATACCTTCTAGGAAGAAATCTTTTATAATGAGAAATTGGTAAAATATGATTTTACTCTGAAATGCTTTGTGTGCAACTAAAAGTAAGTTTGAACTATGAACATGTTTTCTGTAACTTTTGCTGTTGTCTTAATTTTTCCCATACCTAACACTGAGTAAGACTTAGCCTGTGTTTTAATGCACAAAATATTAGAAATATTATTTATGATTCAGTGTAAGATCTACAATTTTGGATTTCTGGAAAGTTCTGAAATGAATAGAAATATTTTCTTCATTAATACCAGGAAAGTACATCATACTTCTCTATTTTTCATTTCTGGCTTCCATGTAGTCATGACATTTTTAGTTTTGAGGGTGTTCTCACATCTGGACTAGATGTCTTTGAAACAGAATAGAAGAAAATACAATCCAAATATCTGAAATGTCTCTAAATCTGCAGTATACACTTTCAGAAGGTGTCACTTGAGGAATTAAGAATATGCTCCAGCAAGGTGTTTAGGCTGTTCATTTAAAAGCAGCTAAACTGAGGGTGATACGCACAGTAAGCACCGAATATGTCTCAGTTGAGCTTCGTAATTCTAGGGTCTGAGCTGAATATTACTGCTGGGGTGATGTGATGTCTTCTCTTGATGCTAGCTGCTTATGGTTTATTAAATCTACTGTCTTGGAGATCACATAAAACTAATGATAGATTGCTTACTCCTTTCATCCACTGAATTTTCAAGCCGAGATTGCAGAAACACTTAGGTAGTGATGCCGAGTTTCTCCAAGGGCCTCTGCAGAGAGCACATCTGACATGACACAGCCATGTTATGATTCAGCTGCTTTAGAGATGTGTAAATTGTTACACGTACAAGTAAAATGGTAGGTGTTTGTAAAACAACTGAGATTAGCAGTGATAAGAAAATGTATTGCTTCTGCTCGCAGATTGGTGCACAGTTTTATCAACAGTATTTGTGACTGTGAGCTTACACGTGAATGTGATCTATATTTAGTATTTTTCTAGATATTCAGAGTGCACACTTGTGAAAATTTTGAATTTACTATCTGAAATAGAAATAATTACCATGCTACTGACTACACTAAACAGAGGTGTTCTTAATTTAGGCTCATAAAATGTGGAGCTCATCTCTGTTAGAGAAATGACCAGGTATAGAATGATTATCGTAACATTTGTTAAAAAGTAGACATTAGGAGAAGGAAATTAATAAAAATAGGAATCTGGGCAAAAAATCCATGGTCTAAATATGAAAAAGGCAAATAAGGGCAGGAAAGAAAAGAATTACCTATGATAAAGTCCATATTAAAAAAAAGAGAGGTTGTGATAGAGATTTTGAAGTTGCAAAGATAAAACTAATGAAGTGTTAATCAGAATTTTGCATAAACATTTCTGACAAGGCTGAATTGTAATATTTCCTAGTAAAGTGTGGTACCTCTGTGTAGAATGCAATCATAAAGGTTTTTCACATTTTCTCATATCTTAAAAATTAGAAATGTTAAAGAATAATAATCTCTCAAGTCTCGAATCACTGAATTTTGCAAATAGGCAGATTAAAATAAGTTAAAAGCAAAAAACTTAGCTGCCCCTATAGGCAGAGGTGGTGTGCTCCAGAATTGTACAGAGGTTCCAGACAGAATTTTTAGAAGTTCCTCTGGCATTCTCTAAAATTTAGGACACCTAGTTGGAGAGCTCTTTCTCGCCTCTCGGAGCGTGCGCATCGTGCAGCGCAGAGGGAACGTAACAGGAGCTGCCTCTGGTGGACTAGCTCTTCAGACCCGGCTGGGAGCACTGCTCACCACTTTTAATTTCACCGTGGTCCGTGATGGCTGCTCGACCTGAAGTTTCTATACCCCATAGAGGATCACACAGTGCATGTAGGAGCAGTAATTCCCACAATCATACGCTCAATAATCCTAGTTTATTTTCAGGACTGTTGGTATAGGAAGAGCCTATTGAGAGTGTTGAGTTGGAGGTCCAGGGTTTCCAGGACTAGCCAGTTCCCCTGCTTTCTCCATGTGGACAAGAGAACTGAGTCCAGAGCTCCCTGGCGCAGCACATCCATCTGCAGCTGCCGGTCGCTAAGCTGCAGGAGCTTCATCCATAGAGGCTTTGGACATTGTCCCACAAAGTTCTTCCAGCTCTTTCCTCTTACTACAAAGAGAGGTCTTTTGCTGCAAAGTCCCAAGTGATTCTTATCTTTTCAAACCCATGGCCTGAGTCAGTGACCAGTGAATCAATGGGAATTCATCGTTTTCCTGAGATCTTGAGTAGACTGTACCATGAACTCTGATTTGTAGACAAAAATCTGGGCTCAAGTCATAAACTTGAGGGAAATTTTTAGCATGCATTTAAGCACAGATTTCCCATCCATTCAGAACACTTGGCTAATACAGGAGGTCAGACACACCTGGCATTGGATGGTAGAACATCAGTTATTTCAGTGTCGGAATATTGAAACTATTTTGTCAGTGGAATTATCTTAAGAACTTCCTCTGTGTCTGCAAAAAGAGTAACCAGCCATATAACCATGCTGCTACTGAAAAGTAACTATGCTGACACCACAGCAGCAAGAGAAATCCATACATCATTCTTTGTAGATGAATAATATAAAAGAAATAAAAATAATTTATTGCCTGAAATGTTACATATAATGTGAAGCTGTATGAATGTATTCTACTGCAGATAATGAAATACACAAAATTTGAAAACACTAATTATTAAACTATATAGTCTTCAAATAATGATTTTTAGCCCCATTTCTATAGAGTCTTGAAAATTAGTTTCCTTGGGATATTCATTTTCTCCGTTCGTTTTTCAAATCCTCTTTTTTCTATGTACATAGAGATCTTCCTGTTCCCAGTGGATCTTTTTGATCAATTCTGATACCACTTTACATTCAGACTATAAACTGTGTCAAAGTATTTTCTGGCATTCATGGATATATATGCATGTATCCACATTAGATAAAGCATTTTGCTCTGGAGGACATGTCCAACTAGAAAGCAGTAAAATAATTAGCGTTGTTGACTTTGGTTGTTGTTGGAGCTGATATGTAACCAGCAAATATTTAGGCAGAAATGAGGTTTCACATACATATATACACACTGTAGATTAAAAATACGTGAATCATAGTTTCAAGTGAAGTCTTAAAAACAAGGTGGAAATCCCAAAATATTTAGATACTAAATCTGGCAATATGGAATTTGTTTAATGTATTTTCAATAAATAACCTGTTTAATTCTCTGCTGTGCCACTAAAGTACCCTGGGCATGTTATTTCATACTGGCGTGTGTGTTTGTTTGCATAGGTACGTGCTCACCAGTTAGTTTTACCACCTTGTGACGTAGTGATCAAAGCCGTAGCTGACTACGTCCGTAATATTCAGGACACCACTGATTTGGATGCCATAGCAAAAGATGTTTTTCAACATTCACAGGTAAAGTCTAAAGCAAAATATTTTGGGTGGGGTTTTTTTTAAGACAATTTGTGTTCAAGACTTGCATTCTATAAAAACAGTGTTTTGCATCAGTTGATAATAGGAATCTATTGGTATGTGCTGTGTCTCAGATACTCCAATTTCACTTTCCACACTTTCTAAATGTAAAAATACTGCATTTACCCTCAGTGCTTTAAAGTTAAATTCTTGATAACCAAAGGGGTTTTGTAGTCTGGCTTTGTGCACTGTCATTGAGAATCAATCGTACATGAAAATAGTATTTTCAAGCTTTATCCTGATGTGGGTTATCATAATATGTGTTGTGCTGGAGTAGTGCTGTAGTCCTCGAGGGTCCGTAGTCCTTAATCATAGAATCCCAGACTGGTTTGGGTTGGAAGGGACCTTAAAGCTCATCCAGTTCCAACCCCCCTGCCAGCAGCAGGGACACCTTCCACTAGACCAGGTTGCTCAAAGCCTCATCCAGCCTGGCCTTCAACACTTCCAGGGAGGAGCAGCCACAGCTTCTCTGGGCAACCTGGGACACTGTCTCACCACCATCACACCAAAGAATTTCTTCCTAATATCTCATCTAAACCTCCCCTCTTTCAGCTTAAACCCATTTCCCCTTGTTTTGTCATTAACTGCCCTTATGAAAATTCTTTCTCAGGAAGGACTGGGTGTCATCTGGTATATTCCCCAGGAATACTGGATGTGATCTGGTATAGGTTGCCTGCTCCACAGTACAGTGCTGATCTATAGGTGACATGCCTGGATTTGCTCCTGACAAATCTTTTCTTTTTTATTTTAGTCTAGAACAGATGACAAAGTTACTCGATTTAAGAGAGCAGTTGCTTATTACTCAGCAACTAATAAACCTATGCCATTTCATCCACCACATTACCTAGGTAAGTAATTAAAGAAATAAAGCTTTTCATTTTAACTAGAACCCAGGATAACCCTAAATCAGAAATAGTATTATTAGCAGGATCTCATAAAAATATTTATGTTCTCTGGCAATTTTTGTTGACCCTTGAATATGAGGATTCAAGCATTTTCACAGGGTGCGTGCAGAGGTTCTGTTCTTTCCCCAAAAAGAGGAGAGCAATCGGGCCTGATTTTCCTCTTAGCTATTGCTGTGTTGGTGCTAGCACTGAAATCCCTGAGTATGGTGCTGTAAGCAACAGGGATCTGGTCACCGCTTCCACTCATGAAGACAATTTCTATATCTACTCCATAAAACACATTTCCTGTTTCTCACTGGATTTATCTGACATGCTTTAAAAATCCCTTTATAGTTTTTGATTTTTTTGATGTCATAACATACCTGTTTGAATTGCAGCCACACATTGTTCTGGTGTTGCAGATTATTCTCAAGGTTTACAAATTAACTGTGTGATCCCAGGATTTACTACACATACCTTGTTCTTAACACTAAAACATAATTTGAGCTGAAATTTTCTAAAGATTTGCAGTTACCATACTGGTACACTAATACAGATTTTTCCTTCTCTTTTTTGGGGGGAGTGAGGTGTCTTTATTTACATTGAAAGACCTGCATTAAAGAGCACTAAGGCTACTCTAGGTCACATACTGGAAAGATAGAAAGTACCAGCATTATGTGGCTGTGTGACATTGTTTTTGCCAGCTTCTTCATTATGACATCTCTTGGCCTTTTTTTTCTTTTAAAATTCCTTTGGTTCCCAGATAGAATAGAAATGTGCAGTAATGAGAGATACAAAGAACTGAGAGAGGGTGAGACAAGTAAAATAGACTTCACAAGCTACTTTTATTTTTACTAAAAAAGCAAAAATGAATAAAACTGATTTAAAGGCATACTGGAAAGCAGTAATGCTAACAGAACAAGAATTGATAAACCATAGAAGCAAAAGGATAAAAAGGGTAACATTTGTGTCAGATAGTGAGCGTTTTAAGGAGTGTTTGGTTTTCTTCTTGATTTTTAAATTTTTTTTTTCTCCTTTTCTGCTCCTCCCTGTTTGCAATACAGCAGCCAGACCGAATCAGTTTGGTATGCCTGGGATAGTGCCACCATATGTTCCTTCTCAGATGCTTAACATTCCACAGACCTCACTACAAGCAAAACCCATGGTAAGTGTAGCCCTCTGCCCTCCTCCTTGGGAGAAACCTGCTGTGCTCATCAAATGAAAATCTAGGTGGGAAAGGTATATGTAGCTTTTTTTAGCATGGACATTCACTGGAAGTCCAGTGATGCTACATACTCTGGCAGAACAATTTCTGTGGATGTCCAAGATGACTGAGATTTAAGGTCTACATTTGGAAAATGCCACTTAATTAAATAATGTGTTTTGTTTTAAAAGAGAAGCCATTTTTTCCCTTCACTTAAGATAGATCACTTTCTTTTAGGCCCAGCAGATGTCCAATCAGGGTGGGGCCCAAGGTCAGGGTCCATACCCATATAGTCTCTCTGAGCCAGCCATCACCTTGGAAACAGGTGGAAAAAGTCTTTCTGAGCAGAACAACTACAGTAACATTCCTCACGAAGGAAAACACACACCACTGTACGAACGATCTTCTCCAATAAATCCAGCCCAGAGTGGGAGCCCTAATCATGTGGATTCAACCTATTTTCCTGCCTCTTCTACATCTTCGTCCTCCGACAACGATGAAGGCAATGGAGGTGCAGTGAAGTAAGTTTTACATGAGGATGTTTTCTTATGGGGCTGCTGTTAAAATACATTTACTTTCAAAATCTTTCATTAGTATCTTGGAAGTGAGAAATCTGCAAATTAGTGATATGATAGACCTTTAAAAAATAGTTTTAGGTCACTGTGACTGCAAAGACATCCATGTTCACTCTAGCTGCCTTGTTCCTTTACAAGCAGAAATCCAACACCAAATAATGTTGGGTGTTTTTCCACTTCTGCCCATATATTTTATTGAAAGAAGGAGAGAGAGAGATTTTAGTAAATGTCATAAAGCCTTTGAGTTCTTTATATAAAAGAAAAATACTTACTTCACAGTATAGTTCATTAAAATTTCAGTAACTAAAAACTATGAAACTTCACTGAGTTTGTAGTGTTTGCACTTCTTAAATGTTGTGATAATGCGACTTAGCCAACAAACCTGGTGTGAGTGTCAGAAACTGAGCATTCAGGACAGTGACTGAAGAGCCCTCGCTCACAGGCTGTGCGGGGAGCAAAGCAACAGCCAAATTGGTTTTGCTCTGTTCTACTCATGTGCCGTGTGTACTGCAGTATTTCTGAGTTCCACTGGATCGTCTGTCTGTCCGTGGCATTGAAGTTGTGCAGACTTTGATTTAATTATTGCTTCCTGACCTACAAAAAGGAAATTTGAACAGAGGCAGTTGGTGTTTACTTTTGTCTTGTCAGGTGTAGTGGCTGACTGTGTGAGAGTCAAAGCCTGGGGCTGTAGCAGCTCTGTGATTGCCTCTCAAACTTGGGGGTTGTGTATCATAGTATATTTAGATTGGATGTGAGGAAGAATTTCTTTGCTGAAAGGGTTCTGAGGCATTGGAAGGGGTTGCCCAGGGCAGTGGTGGAGTCCCCATCCCTGGAGAGATTGAAGAGTCGTGTAGACATAGTGCTGAGGGACATGGGTTAGTCAGGGACTTGTCAGTGTTGGGTTCATGGTTGGACTCGATGAGCTTAAAGGGCTTTTCCAGTTGAGGCAGTTCTGGGCATTAAATTCTGAATGTGTCTGTGATTATGCATCACAGCTTGGACTTCACTTTTTTAATGCAGTCTATCTACTTTAAATATCATCCTGTGTTTTGCTTAGTAAATTGAGTAAGTTTACATGGCTTCCATGCAGTGTGGAACTGGAAGTTACCTGCTTTAGAAAAATCAATAGAAGGTATTTTTCAGCATTTTGATGGTGTTTCTTTATCCATTTTATGTAATAAATTTTTAATACATTTAGAAACTGAAATATAGACCATGTCATTTATGTTGCTGTTTGGAGATATAGTCTTGTAATTGAGGGAAATTACTTGGCATAGTGACAAATATTTAAAGTTCAATCAAGAATTTTTCCAGCATGAACATTATTTATTCACTGTAATACAGTGAATACTGTAATACAGCTTTTAAATACAATCTCAACAACCTTATAGTGTAAATGAATATTTGTCAGTATTAAAGTCTCTTCAAGACGCCTACAAATTGATGTTTCTAATACATAGCGTCCCTTAAAATCAGTCTCTGACCTGTGGTTTCAACAACAATCACCAAGGATTTATCCCATTGTATCTTAAATGGCACTTTAATTCCATGTTCTCCTTTATGTTGTCCTTCAGCCATGTCAGTGGGAACAAAATAGGCTGGGAAAAACCAGGAACCCAGTCAGAAAGTCAAACGCGTGGAGAGCTGGGAGACCAAACGAAGGTAATTCCTTAAGTTCCAAATGGCACAATTTATTGTTTTGTGTTAAAGCTTTACAGCAAACTCTGAGTAGAATTTTCAGTATTGATCTGTCAGATTTAGTGTGAACATTTACACGGTTTTGGGAATTACAAAACAATGCCTTTAAAGTACAGTAAAAGTTTTCCAAGGAATATTGTAGCATATACGTTAAAATGAAAATTAAATAACATGCATTAGAAAATATTAGGTATAAAATGGAAGGAAACCAACAAACTTGTTTAATCCTTAGCTAACTATCTCGTCCTTAGCTGTTACTATCTGTGTTTACAGTAGTGCATTATTTTGATTTTTATTAACGAGTATAGCAATCTGAAGTGTTTGTGTGTTCTGAGTCCGTGTCATGTAACCTACAGCGTAGTGAGAGCAGCTCTAACACACAGTGTTAGCCACAGACTGTTACAGGTGTCTGAAAGCTCAGCTGAAGAATAGTAAAGTAGCTCTGTGGGACCAGTTAGAAGGTATTGCTACTTAACTGAGTAAGGATGGGGTAACCGAGCCCATAAACTATCTTTGTCAAGGTAAAGACTTAACATTATCCTATTAAATTTCTTCAAGATTTAAAACTGTTGTCAAATTAAGGAGTATGATGGTTCTATATTCCAAGTTTGAACTGTGTTTGTAACGAACATTCAAAGCATTTGCACTTGAACTTTATGATGGAACTGTACACCAACTCTGAATTTTGTGTCCAGAAAAACCAGTCATGAGTTACTTATGCTGTAGACAAACAGAACATTTTCCCTGTACCTTTGGCATAGAAATTCCAGTAAACTTGGGCTTTGCGCTTAAAATATCAAGCTGATGATTTCATCCATCAGTGGTTATTATTTTTACAGACTACGCCCCGTACGATAACTGTATCTGCCTGCAGATTAGTCACCGTAGGCAAATGCTAATTTGACCTATTGCATTCCTTTCTTCTCTGTGTGATGGGCCGTGTAGGAAGCCCCGTGTGTCCCAGCTGCAGCCCCGCGTGTCCTGCACAGCCCGTGTCCTGCCGAGGAGCAGCAGCTGTGCCTCCCTTGGAGCTGGGCCATGGCCTGTCTGTCTGCCTGTCTTCAGACACACAGAATTAGAGCTGGATTCGCAGTGATTAAACTTTCCAGTAGATGTAGGCATGCAGTCCAGCTTCAGTGCATCCAATTTAATGTATAAATGCTTGTGAGTTTTACTTGCCCTTTTTTTTTTCCAGTATCAAACCACTTCTTCAGTAGCAGGAGAAGACAGTTGCATCTGTTGAGCATGACAGGGAGGATTATGAGTACATTTTGTAGATGAACTCATTTCCTAGAGAGGTATATATTAATGATTAAAAAAAAAAACAAAACCAAAACATTTCCTGAAGATGTCAACTGCATGAGCTGTGTGAAGTTGTGAGCTGATTTAAAGTGCTGCAAATCTAGCAGAGATCAGACAGGTAGCAGCAATCTTGCCACTCCTTTCACTTGACTTAAATGTCAAAATTCCTTGCTTGGAGTTGTCTCACTTTGTGATTATACATGACAAAAGTATGCTCATCTCATTTGGGTGGATGTATGTTACTAAAGAAAAAAAAAAAAAATCAACAACCTTTTAAATGTGGCAATTCCTCACACTGAGTTTGAATATCACTGGAACAGATCCAGGAAGAACCTGGGTACTGCAAACCGGGAAAGTATTGCTGTCATTTGGGGTTTCTTATCTTCTTCCCTTCACGCCCCAGGAATCAGCAGTTCTGTAAACTTCTCTTTGTGGTCCAATATCACTGACTTTGAGTTGTAGACAGGGAAAAGTATCTTTAAACTTATAAAGCGATATTTGATAATATAATACAGATTTAATAGATTGTGATACCTCACATGCTTATAAAAACATTCTGTGTAAGTATATTGTATTAGAAGTGTTTGGGTTTACAGGTTTTAACCATTTCTTATGTATATTTTCATTTTTATAAATAAAATGAAGTCTGGATTACGAGCTCAATACAACCAATACAATCTTTCAGTAACGTCCTCTTTGATTCTGTGCTTAAGATGTAATCTGAAAATAATGTTTTCCCTTTGATACTTTGCTAGAGCTTTTGTTACTAATTCACACCTTTCTATAGAAGGTTTTTGGAGGTTGTGTGAGGTTTTTTTAGTTTACATGCAGGTTTGTATTTTTCATAAGAGCCTAAAGTGAACAAGCTGAGCTTGTTTGGGCCTATTTTTTGTATTACTTGTTCTATAGGATTTCATAGCTTTGACCAGTTCTGTTTCAGCTTTGCTTTCAAAGTCTTAGGAAGCATGTGAAATACCTACACAGATTGTGGAAATACTTGTGCATGATGTATCATCAAGTGAACAAATTAAATTTCAGTCTCAGAAGTTTTTAATATTACTATAACAGTTTCTAGGCACAAAACTATTATCAACTCTTAAGCTAAAAACAGCTTTCAGTTTTGAAGACAAGGATTTTTAGGAATGAACTCTGCTTTTTTTGGTAGTATCTGTGAGAGATACAACATATAATGCTTACGAGAGGCTTGTTCACTGTGAGGTTTACAGTATATTTTTATATGTCATATTTTTCCTATAAATTTGTGAACTACATTTCTAGAAATGGAATAAAATGACACTTTAATCCTGCGGTCAGAAAATGTTGCCATTTTCTCTTTGTCTTCTTCAGACAAAAGAATTTTATGTTTAAAAAAAACCAAAACAAAACATTTACAAGGCTTTTGAGTTCAGACACTATATAGTTTTAATGTCTTTAAATTGAACTATGTAGTTTTTCCTGCTTCATTTAGAAATGCAAACTGAGAAAGAAAAATGTTGTAGTGGAAGTCTAGGTAAATTACAGACTTTGTGACTGTTAGTTAACCCATTTAGTTGGTAGGTTCTTGGAAATATTTAGCTAAGAGGTCATTCACATTTCATTGAGAGGTCATCAATCCCCCTTCTGTATTGTACAATTTAAAATTTAAAAAATATAATAAAAATAATAATTACTGTTGCTGTTAATAAGTTAAAGCTTTACTGTAATAATTTTTTTTTTCAGTAATTTGCTTCTACTAGCAAACAGTGACTGAAAGTTTAAATTTTCTGAAGATCTTTTAGTCAGCTTTGGATCATGTATTCTACGTACTGATACAGCATAATGTGAAGATTTACTCTTTTCATTGTGGATGAAGAAGGAAATTTGCTGTTTCTCTTGGCTGATCTCTTGTTACATTTCCATACACATTCAAAAGTACTTTATTTTGTATGTTCCGTTACAGGCAGAAGGTTC